TCATAATCTCTAAAGATTTTTCTAACCAGAATGTTGTAGATTCTTTAGCATTTGTGACCAAATAAGAAAATAATGGTGCTTGATATAAATAATAACTTTTTCTACAACTTTGACTAGTAATTCCAATACATGCAAAAATACTTTGCAAAAAATGATAAATAAGACCACTCTCTAAAGCTACTGCTGAAACTGCTTTTGAATAGCGAATATTTCTTGGTTCATTATCATTTTCCATTATCTTGCCACATAAATGACAAATAATTTGGCTTTTTACTGCAAACTCAATAGTATAACAATATAAGTATGTTTAGAAATTTGAATATTACCACAATTAGTACATGGTTGTGAAAAAACTAATAAAAGATATTGCTTTGAGTCTATTAAAATAGTTGATCCAAGCTTAGCTTTGCTAATATTTTTTTCTATTATTTCTAATAATTTATTAGAATCTTCTTCAGTATCAATTTGTTTATTATCATTAGTTAGTTCAATAATTTTTTTTGAAGTCATTGGATTTTTTGATTTAAAGCATAATTTTTTTGAACTAATTCATTATATTTTACTATTAAAGCCTGGGTTTCTTGTGGAGTCAAATTTTTACCATGCCGTTCAAGTAAAATTTCATTAAAAATTGGTAATTCACTTTTATCGATTTTATTATTAAGCTTATAAGCAACGCATTTCATAGTATTTTCTAATCTAGTTTCTTTTTGAAATACTTTTATAGTTTGGTTATAGTTATTGAATATATGAGGATAATGTTGAGTTATTATATTTTGTAAAAAAGAATATTGTAATGATTAAGAAATTTCATAATCCACGGAAATGATTTTTTTAAGCATTATGTTTGCATAGTAAACTTCGATAAGCTGTGTAGTTAGACCCACTATCTTGTAACTTTTGAAATGTTAAATCATTATCAAAATCATACCATTCGAAACATATTTGATTATTTTTATCTTTAGCAATTTTAAATTGAAAGTATTTTTTTTGAAAAAGTGTATATAATGTACAGGGATAC